CAAGACACAGCTGGAGGAGGATGACATGGACAAAAGGAGGGAAATGGAGATTGGCTAACAACAAGGGTGGAGCAGACAGGACTAATACAGAAGAGGTGTGAGGGGAAGACTCTGGGGACAGGGAGGGACTAACAAGACAGGTGTGACCGAAAACAGGTGGGAAAACACACGACAGGAAGTAAAACCCAGACATGACACATGAGGAGAGAACTTACAAAATAAAACAGGAAGCAGATTAAACATGAATGAATAAAATGGAACAAGGAACACAAACAGAAAACTCCATAAGATAACGAAATATAAACAAACCTAGGAGAGTGACAGTTTCCTACAGTAACTACAGTATAAATTCAAACTGTATTCTTATTCTCCACCAAGGGAGAAAAAACATGGTAAATTATAATGCAAAAATTTGTTTTGTTTACCATGGTTTTCAAACTTTATGTGCCCGACGGTACACCAGAGGGTACGCCAAAATGTCAAGGCACACCTTTATTTATATTTGTTTTTATTTACTATTATCAAATAACAATTGACAACCAACTATTAGTCAAGAAAGCATTTTAAACTTTTAAAATTACATCAAAGCACCAATAACATCCATTTAAACAGGAATTAATGTAAGATAATGTGATGGGTCACACACTTATAATTCCCTAGCACGAACGTCAACAAATAGGTTCCCCGTGAAGGTTTTCTAAATTAAATTAAATTACCTTTTTCAGTAGAGTTTGCCTCTTTATTAGGAAAGGGGTGCACACAACATACTGATACAGTCAATCAAAAATTCATTCATAACCTTTTTGTATATTGCAATAATATTGTGTGGTCATCACAAAATCCCACGGCACACCTGGATTTGCATCATGGCACATCAGTGTGCTGCAACACCATTTGAGAACCAACCTTTTCCGTTATGTGCGTAATGCTTTAACTTTTTAAATGAGCAATGTTTGCGTAGATTCTGTCATGACTGCTGTCCATGGTGCTGAATCTGGGGCTGTCCCGGGCGATCCCCAACGCTCATGCTGGCTGGCAGGAAGCCCACTGGCAGTTTGCTTTAACTGATCGGCCTTGTCATTTTGCCTTATCTACAAACCACACCTTGCTATCATAGATTCTGGTGGCTAAGTCCTGGAAACTCTTAGTTCCCTCCACACAAGTCAGTTTTGCCCCAAGTTTTTTGTTACAGATTCAAATTACTATTACTACTAGCTTTTGTCTTACTTACTATTCACATCACTGACTTCACAAGTAGTAACTTACGCTTGTAATTGACTCACTGTCTCCTCTCTTCCTCTGTGTATCAGGTGATGAGGGAGAAAACACCGACAAAAGCCAGGACTGTCCAGCTAAAGAAGAAGAGACTCAAGCTGAGGGCAGCTAAACTGACTTTTGTGGACTCAAACAACCGCTTCCTCTCGTCCACCTGATCCCTGAACCCTAAACCTGCTGCATCTAATGACTGTGAGCAACAGACACGGTAAAATCTCCTACTGCCCCGGTCCCGCCATGAGGACATCGTCGCTATGGCAACCACAGTGCAGTTTTCCTTTCTTACTTGGGTGTGTTCCAACTTCCTTAAAAGGCCTCCTTTCCTTGCTGCCTTTCCTTCATGGCTGCTGACGTGAGATTGGATGTGACGTATGGTGAACGCAGCGTGATGTCGACAACCAGAAAGCAGCTCCGTTTGACTGTGGGTGGTCCTGATGGGACAGGAGAGAATGGAAAAGAGGCCATTCAAGGTTTTTGGGGCAGGCGCAAGTGTTTCCACTCTCTTCCCTCCACGCCTTGAAGCAATCACAAGTGATGTGGCTGAAATACTTCCAGGGAACTGAGGGCAGTGATCGGACACCTACTCCTTGTTTGTTTGTTTATCCATGTCAGGTGATATCTCAGACACCACAGACTCAATTTGAAAGATTTGTGGGTAAATAATGTTGCAATCTGGCACTTTTGATATTACATTACTGGCTCAGACAGGTCAAAACACAGGACATACAGCAGTTAGGAACAATACTGAGCTGCTCTTTCATTCTGTCAACACGATAAAGGCAAAAGCATAAAACAATACCCCTGTCTGGCTTCCCTGTTTCTTGCTTTGTTTTGCACACTGACCCATAATCTCCCAAATAATCATGAGCCCTTTTTGTGCCCACTGCCAGGCCTCACAGGTGCAGCCAGTATGTGCTAGACAATGCATCTCCCTGAATGCATCATTTTAGATTCTTTTTATATTCAAAATTTTGTAAAGGTTGTACAAAAGGTTGTACTCTAGATCTTTGCGTATACATGGAGAATTATTGTCTGATATTCAGTATGTTAAAATGCACCTCACCTATGGTTTCCCTACCTTTGACTTTGACTGTGTGATCATTTTCTAACTTTGTACGCAGTTAGCCGTTAACTTCAAATATTCATTGTGAGATGTTGCAGTCAGTCGGATGGTTGCTAATAGCTTTGGATTACAGTGTTGAAATACGGTTCTGCCCTTACACGTCTCATGTTTGGTTACTCAGTGTATTCATATTTCCTCATCCCTCTCATTGTCCGTGGCTGCTCTGTGGAGAGACAGCGGGTGTTTCTCAAAGTCAAGGAAGGATCATTAAATGGCTGAACTTCAAGGATGCCACATCACCACATCCCGCCTAAGGACTGGTCCGATGTCAAGGATCCTTCAAATTCTACAGAGGAGTCCTTCATTTAGAGAATTTTAAAGGATGCATGTGTGTATCCTCAGCAGGTATAAAGTACCCACAATTCTTTGCACACAGTTTGCTGGAAGTAAAGGTTGGGTCTCTTCAATGAAGACTTTGACTTGACTTTGAGAAACACCCATCGGTCTTGTAGTATGTGATGGTGATGGTACAGTTTTCTACATACTACATACAAAAATTGTCCATATTATAATATGTTCTTTTTACCCCAGATCAATACACTGCCATTTAGCACACCTGAGAGTGTGTGTGTGTTTAAAGTATGACTTGTTTGACGCTGGATGTTGAGATCAAGAATTTATTTGCTGCTGGAGATTCAAAAAGTCACAGCACTGATTGCAATCAAGTGTGTTTTATTTAATGTATTATATTCATTGGAGGTTTGTATTTGTCCGTGTTCTGGGGCGTCTGGTAGAATGATGATTTTTGTGATTGGACAGACTACCTGTGATATTTGCATTTCCTGTTTCTCCGATGAGTCAACCCTTCATTTTCAGAGAGAACCAACCCTCTCAGTACTTTTCCTGTAGCTACGACACACTGCCTTTTTCTGTTGTACCACTCAAACATGTACGTAGATGTGCACTCTGAAACTTTCTATTTTGAACTTGTGCGATTGTGTGATGACATCACGTGTTTGTCTTGGCTGGTTTTATGAAATTTTAAGAAAATAAATGACTTGTTAAAAGGGGATTTTTACATTGTATTTACAGGTCAGGTAGAGTGTGATTTAATGACCAGTACTGTTGCACTGTAGGTGACCTTGGGCACCCATAATCATGCTGTATTTTCCATGTTGTTCATTCATGAGTCATGTGTGTTGTCACTGACTTTACTGTGTAATGCCCTCATATTTGATTTTGTTGTCTTTGTTAGTTTTGACGTGCAATTAAATCTCACCGGTGAAAAAATGTAGTGTCAATACTGTGTGTGTGTGTGTGTGTGTGTGTGGGCAGAGTACACATGGTCACTGTCTCCCTCTTGTGGCCAATCTAAAACCTGCTATTCAGCCACAGAAGAGCCAGATCACAGGCCAATGTTGTCACTGCCATGCCCTATTTTTGGTCTCTGTGATGGGATAGATGCTGTGATTGTTGGCCCTTGTGATGGAATTGGTGCCTAATGATTACTGACCAATGTAATATAAAAAATGATAAGCCTGGTGCTATTTTAAAGGCATTAAATACGGTGATTACAGAATTATGTCATGCAGAAGTTGGCAAACTCTATTTAACACCTCTTAAATCCACACCACAAAGGGTTTTACAAGTACACACTGAATACTATAATGTTAGTAATAATTAGGCTGCAGATGAGCCATAACAGAACATTTAAGAGGTACAATAGTTGGTTTTATTATAGGTCTTGTGGTGTTATTATTGTTTCCTGTGATGAAGTGGATAGACTGACATAAAACCCGATAAAAATCTTGCCAATTTAGTCATGCAGCAGCCACCTATAAGGCTAATATTGAGTGATGAGTTTACTTTTCTATGCTTCTCTCACGCCTGCTGTTTGACTTATTCGCAGTCATAATTTAATTATGTTTACTAAGGAAGTAATTCACATGTGGGTAGTGCAGACTAATGGAGCGACCTCTCGGAGCAACTTCCAGCTTTGGTGTGGTGGGTGGTGGACAAATGTATGTATTTATTCATCTATTTTGTCAGTAGAAATTTAAACATAAGGGAAATGGCGGTGTGTATGTGGCAAAAGCCATCCAGGGCGCAAAACAAAAACAAGAAACAGATGGAATTTGCAAATTTGCACACACCTTATTCTCTTATTGTGTATTTGTGCTGATTCGCATTAGTTCTTGTTCTTGTTAGGGCCAGGGGAAGCTTCCCCAGGGTGCCGAACATACTAGTTCTGGCACCGGTCATATGAGCACTGTGTGTCCTTCCTGCTTCCTGCTCCCTCTGCTAATTTGATAATTTTCATCCTGTCAACCCTCGATTCACTCATCTTTAATCACTGTGACAGATGGAGACAACTTTTACACGCTGGTGAAGGTCAGAAAGTTCGTTCCTTATCTTTGCTTTAGAACCTAAGAGCCCCAACAAATAGCCTAGGAGGGGACCACACAGACTTTGCTTGTGACTTAACTTATCTCAGATAAACTGATTAGAGGTTAAAGATACTCGGAGATAGAGGTCCTGTATGCTCAGGGGCTTTGCCAGAAGATGATAAAATGTACAGATAACCATGATGACTCTGTTTCTGGACTCATTCTTTTAATCTTGATGAACTAAAGAACGGGAACACATCTCAGAAACTGACATGTTTTTTGTTGTTGTTTTGTCTTTTTATTGAAAAGGTTGAGCACAAGTGCATTGATCGTCACAGCAATACAAGAGAATAATGTGAAATACATTAACAGTAATATATGTACGTGCTTAAAGGTATACTATGCTGGGTTTTCCTTAAAAAACAAAACAATGTATAGACTCATACAAAATTAATCCCTCTCAATCATCACTTATGACCAACTAGAAGTGTGTGGCGTTGTGTCTTTCTGCAGAGACCCTGCTGTCTGCCTTAATTTACTTATTTTCTGCTCATTTTGCTCGCGCGCAGGTGTGGCTGGCACATTTTAAAGAGGTAGCGACCAGGTAGTAGCATGGATGAAGATTAGAGCCACAGTTCTGAGATTTAAGTTGGTAATCTGAGAATAAAACTTCACTATTTTCCATGATTTCTTTTTGTTTATTCTCAGAATCCTGACTTTAGACTCAAATATATTTTTCACGTGTGACCCTAATCCTTTTCCACTGCACACATCCAAGAGGAAGCTGTGAAAATGGCGGACAAAGCGCATAAAAAACACAAATGTAGCGTGGTGAAAACGCCAAGCGGACAAAGCTTGGGATTGGTGATACTGTCTACAAACAGTAACTGACAATTCCTGCATGGTATACCTTTAAGTGGCACTTAGATTCACACAAAATCGATAAATTCGCATCTTTACTAATAAACAAAGCGATAAAAATTAGTTTCGATACGGTCCCTATCATTTTACAGAGGTAGTCCATGAAGCCATGTACATCCTCACCACACTTTTGCCTAAAATACAACACTGTTCAGCAGTGTGTGCGTTCCAATAGATACCTGCGCCTTACAGTACGATTTTTAGAAGTTCTCCAAAGGCAGTTATACACAACTGACTAATTTCCTTGTGGGATAAAAAACCCATGCATAGACTGGGGGAGCTCAGCCTTCACATATGCCCGAGCGACCTCTTTGAATGTTCTGCCATCCAGAATCAGCATGAAGCTCGACTGGCCTGGGTTGCAGTTGTTAATTGCCGATAAGACCACACCTGCAGACGGAAAGGAGGAGGTTACTGTTATGCAAAACATGATATCAAAAATCTAAGGAATCACATCAGATGACGGCAGGTTTTCAAATTTTCTTTGAGCTTAAAAACCCCCCCGCTTAACATTCAGTCTCGTGGATACAGATGTAATCAGTGAGTGATCTTATCTTTTTAGGTTGATAAGCCTATCTTTTTGTACTCTCGCTGATGTACAGTAACACCACACACACCAGTATCCATGTCATACATTGTGCACACAGTATTCTCACCATCATCCTCCGACTCTCCATTAGGTCTGGGGACGAAGACAGGCTCTGACGGCCAGCAGTTGTCCTCACTCCAGCAAATCCTTTCCTTGGTTTCTGTGTCAAACTTTGCAATCTGCATTAAATGAACAGATCAGGGAAAACAATCGAGACATGATTTACTCAGCGTGTACAACAAAGCATTACAGGCTGGCACTTTGAGTCCCCCGTAGTGTATCTGATAGCAATGTGCCCATGCAGCACTTTGCCCAGGCCCTCAGCCATATACTTTCAAAAGAGCAATAAAATTGTAAGCTTCTTAATCCAGTCAATGGGTCCATTAAGGAACTTGAACCACTTCTTTTCATGGCATAAACTGGGCTGACCTTAGTCGGAGTGACTCAGGGTTCACAGGAAATAAAGTATATTTCCAAGAACGAGATGCCAATGCTTCCCAGTAATAGAGTAACCAACTGCTTAATTAATCCATCCATTTATTAGTTATACCCACATATCCTTGGAACAGTCGCAGGGGGGCAATGTTGTTTTTTAAGTAACTCAAACACAACAGTGCATCACTGTGAAATCACTACAGTCATCCTTATGTAGTTTATACATGTGCAATTCAATTGGGAAATGACTGCAGTTGCACTTTTTCAGTATAATTCAGCACGTCAGTCAGACTCGTGTTCGTCACACATGCAGTCAAAAAGGGAAGTATTGTAAATAGCAATCTGCTGAGTCTGATCACGAAAAAAAATATATGTGTACGTCAAAATAGGGGAAAGGTCTCACCTCAACAGTGGGGGGGTAAACAAAGATGGGACTCAAGTAAAAGTATTGTTACTTTATAATTATTTTGACTCAAGTAGAAGTAAAAGTACCCATAAAAACAACTGCTTGAGTACGAGTAAAAATGTTTACTATAAAAAAATATATACTCAAGCAGGGAGCAACTTCATTAGCTAGCACAGTGATGCAGTGGTAAGCATTGTCGCCTCACAGCAACAGGACTTCTGGTTCAAACCCCAGGGTGGGGGAGCCCTTCTGTGTGGAGTTTGCATGTTCTCCCCGTGTCAGCGTGGGTTTCCTCCAGGTACTCCAGCTTCCTCCCACAGTCCAAAGACATGCAGGTTAACTGGTGACTCTAAATTGTCCGTAGGTGTGAATGTGAGTGTGAATGGTTGTCTGTCTCTATGTGTCAGCCCTGTGATAGTCCTGTGACCTGTCCAGGGTGCCTCTCACACAATGTCAGCTGGGATAGGCTCCAGCCCCCCTGCCACACTTAGCAGGATAAGCAGTTACAGACAATGAATGAATGAGGATCTTCATTAGATGCAATTCATTACACCGATGTGTAGGCCAGTGATGTGTATGTGCCTCTTCTGAAGGAGACAGCGGTGTTACTTCTTCTGACATTATCTTACACTGCAGATGACTGAAGAGGGGTCACTGCCGAGGGCCACACCTCTATCTATCTGTGGTGCTTTCACTGTCTAGTAGGCTATCTTATCTCTTTAACTGATGGACAATCACTGTCGGCATGTAAACTCAGCTAAATATATAACACAGCTAAATGTATCAGTAAAAGAAGCCCAATGGGTCGCCCAATATAAGGAGTAGAAGTACATGTATTTTATCACAATACTCAAGTAGGAGTATCCCGCAACACAAAGACTCTTATTTCAATAAAGTACTCAAGTACAAGTAATGAAGTAAATGTGTTACTTCCCACCAGTGCATCTCAATCATGATCTGCGTTAAACTTTTTTTATTTATTGATGAAAAATACGTAGCGTATTCCAGACCTGACACCAATTCACAAGGTCCCTCCTTCCTCAAAGAGAGCTCTAGCTATGACTCAAACTGGATTTATGACTGGTGACTGACTGACTCAAATAATCTTCATGGTGTTGAAATAACTCTCTGATCACTTTATTTTATTCTGCTGATGTAACTACAGCTGGCAGTGAACCAACTACTGCATACAACGCTCTTGAATAAATGTTTATTCCTGCTGATGTAACTTTTTTTTTATGTAAAGGTGGCACGGAGATAGAGTCCACTGCCTTCATTTTAGCGTATGCAACGATGGCACTTTTTTCACGGAGATACAAAGTCCCGTCTTTAAGCCTTCTTTACATTTCTACACAGAACCAAACTATGGCCCCATCATGCCACTCCAGTGTGCGATTATACACTGCTTCCGGCATTCCGCGATCATATGAGGCGTGAGGGGCATGAAATGAAACCCAACAGCATCTGCCTCTTGCGTGACAAATAACATATGCGTCAGCCGTGCTTTCTGGATAACAACAATGGCATAACATGTCAATCATAATCATTTACCTTCTCTGTTATACTGTGGCTGATTTCGTCCTCTGCTCAGAGGGTGAGGAGCTCCCAAATCTCGTTGTTTTCCCAATTTGTGGACATTTACGGCTGCTTCTTCTGTGAGTTAGCCACTAACTGCTAGCAGCTGCTTTTTAAATCTCCCGCAGTGGGTCGCTAACATAATACGTAATCAAAACGTCACACTCGTTCCATCCATGGACAAGTGGAAAATATTTTGCTTTTGTTGTGTATGCACCCATATCTAATCAAACAAAATTATTTTCTTGGCTGGTCATCATCATAACGTTTTCATTTTTCCTTTAGTCCATCCTGCTTCTTATTCACAAACACCATTAAAATATAAAGAGAGCCAAAGCTCTCTGACGTTGGTGGTATTCTGCGTCAAGTGGTAATAAACAAAATTATCTGATTGTCTGAGCCAGGATGTTTCCTTCCTCTTTGCAGACACTTACCTCTGGACTGTGGGTATGCAGCAGGACTCAAGGGAAGCCCTTTTCAAAAGAGCTCTACTAAATGCTTTGAAGCCCCGCTGAGCTTGTCACGTCTTCCTATTGTTTCTGCTACCTTGACATACATTTGTGTACCCAGTGGGGAAGGATATGTGAGCCAGAACCTTGGAGTGTTCTGGTGTTTTTGAGGGCATTCAATAATTGTCACATCAACAGAGTGCTTCCTACCTTCTGCTGCGCCAACGAATTCTCAGTTCTGCGATTTGCTTCCTTCCTCAATAAAAACAATGCTGCCACAAAACAATCTGATTCCCAATAGCCCTGCATATAAAAAAATCTCTTCAAGCTCTTCTGCTCTTCAAGAGTCTCCAAGTTCAGGGTCTCCAGGCTCTCTTTGCATATAACACCAATGGGACTGTAAGAAATCACGAAGACGGATGTTCCCACCAGTCTTGTTCTGCCGTAGCTAAATTATAAACAATAGGGAATGTTACCTCTTTAGCCAGTGCAGAGTTCTCCACGCAGCTGCAGTAGATGAACCGGTGTCTCTTGCCGTTGACATCATAATTTATCCTGGGTAGGTCGAGACCTGGTGGACATCAATTGACATTTTTTGTATTTGTATGAACAAATCAATTAGTCTTAAAGATGCGGAGATGCCAAAGCTGAGGCGTCTGTTTGAGTGACATTGGATTTACCTTCATAGAGCACCTCTGCCTGGCACACTAGTTTGCCTTCTTTCTCCTTTACAGCACTGGCTGTTGTGTATTTGAGTTTCACCAGGTTCTCTCCGACCGCCACGCCCTGCAGAACCCAGCCAAAAAGTTAGATAAATAAATAAGTGTGAGAGGAACATCATCTCTAAATTTCAAGTTGGTGTCAGTTTTTTGAAATCCCACCTTGTCCGGCTGGACCGGAAGTGCAAATCGTTTGTAGCTTGGCTTGGAGTAGCTTTCATCGTGAGACCCGGCTTTTTCCTTCAGTTTGCTAAAGTAGAACATGTCATAAAGGCTGTTGTCTTTGTAGGCGATGACATCGAAGATCACATGACCGTCTTCCTCAAAAGCGTTCACATGATGGTAGACGATCATTGATTCGGTGAAGTACTTTGTCTCGACTTCTTTGCCGGTCTTTCTGTCTATCAGGTGGATCAGACACTTGATGAAAATAACAAGTAGAAAGACAATCACAGTTACGTTAACTCAGATTATCTGTTGATAACATTGGTAGACGTGTGCAAACCCTTTCCCCTAATACCTACAGTTGCTTCATACTTAGTTCAGACGATAAACAAAACAGAGTGACCCCTTACATCTTCCTCAGGGCTGTACTTCAGGCAGCTCGCCCAGTTGACTCCCCTCATGTACGCAGTGGCCATCTTGAGGATGTCCAGTTTTAAAGGCTGCTCGATGAAGATGAGATAGTTGTCCGTGATGCCGAAGCTGTGGTAGTAGCTGGGTGTGAGTAGGGATCGGCAGGGAAGCGTGCAGATCACCTCCACATTCTTCAGCGCGGGGGCGTTCTTGCCTTTGTCTGAAGATTTAAAGTGAAGAGCAAAAAATTGAAGCAAAAGACCTCAATTATTTTAATTTGTTGACATATTAGTGAAGACAAGGACGTAGGTTTTGTTCAACATTGTGGGATACATGTGAAACAGGAGGTTTAGGGGCCACTCCCAGGATATTTTGGGCATTAAAGACTTAATTTCCTGAATTCTGGTGAACTTTCTATGCATGAATTTGTGATTTTTCTGCACCAATTTGTGGTGGAAATGTCTTTAAGTTCGTCAAAACACCTCTGCTAATTTCATGTTTTTATGGGGGTTACAAAGGCATGTTCTAATTATTGAGTAGGAAATATCCCCTGTGTCCCCCCTGAAATGTTTGCCTATGAATGTCTGCAAAAATAGTACAGCACAGCATTCATACTTAAAGAAACAAAGCGCAGCTGATACTGAGAGAAAGCACTGAGGCGCCGGGAAAAGAGAGCAGGTCATTAGGTTTACACACCTTTCTCTGGAACAACAGGGACTTTGAACAGTATGTATTTAGTCTTGCCCTTCTCCGCTACTGAAGTTCCGATGTTGTAGGCGTTGCCCTCTTTGTCGTAGTGCGGATGGGATGAAGCCAAGTTCACCGGCAGGTACTTCATGTAGTCCACCTGTGTGAAACAGTTGAGCAACTCATGAGCTGTGACATCTACCCTTTACCTGGACGTGTGTTAAGAGTGATCACACATGGAGATTGAGATCAGCAGGTTACCTTATCCTGCGTTTCCAGCGTCACTGGATCAATCTTGCGGATGTAGTTGGTTTCAGAGGTGGCGTAATAGTCGTTTCCGTATTTAATAAAATTGCTTGCACCGTTGTCAGTGAAGTCGGGCACTGTGTGGTTGAGAAAGGTGATCGCCCTGAAAAGTAAGATGGAAATAGACTTTAAAAAAAAACTAATTTGCTTACACTGAGGGTCCTGTAGAAATGTGTGGGTACTTTGCATCTCAATAACAACTTCACAGCACAAAGGGGAACAGCAGGGGTTTCCCCAAACTCTGATCATCCTCATATTGATGCAGATGACTTGTTTATTTTTATCTTTAAATTCACTTATAGCCCAACGTGATTATGAGTCATGAGAGTAACTACTCTGACCATAGGTTTCACTTCCTCCTCAGCTACAGTCGACAGCTATAGAATTCAGATGTTAATCATATCTAACAACCAAAACCTTCCTTTCAATATCTTGTGCAATATGATTTCACAACATCATGTGCAATAGTATTCTTCAATATCATCACTTGTCATGTGCAGCACTACTTCTCTTTGTTATATGATATACAATATCACATTGATTATCAGGCACAGTCTATTCTTCATACCATTTTATCTTGTACTTATCATACTCCTGTTGTTACTGGTTTTGCTATTGCATCTTGAGAACACCTCTATCTTGTATATTTAGCCAGATACAGATATTTACTACTCTATTGTTCTCAAACTGGGCCCAGGTAGTGACCCTGACCCGGGGAACCCACTGGTTGTTACTGTAATTTGATGCATTCTCTGACACAAGAATTTCCTTCCTTCCTTCCATTGAATTTAATTGAAATCCCATCGGGTGCAGGTCCCTGAAGCATAATCCTACCCCATGGGGGTCTGTGAGCAAATGCAAAGGTTGAGGACTACTGCTTTAGAAAACAATTAGCTGCTTGCATTTGGATAATCCCCCCTATTCTCCTACACTTCCATTTGTGTATTGCAGATGCTGTGGATTAATCAAATGTATTTTTGCAGGATACATACAAAAAAACGAACAAGAAATACATATAACAAGGATACCATAAGAGCAATGAAATAATCAAAATGAGGTTAAAATTAGGGGTATGCTTACTTGACAATAAAGTTCTTTCTGGGGTCTGGGTAGGCCATTGTGCCCATTTCAGATACAACTATCCTGTTTGCAGCCATGTTAGACTTGTAGGTGTCACTCTTGAGGAATCTGCTTCTGTAGGTCATTTCACCTGTAAGAAAAAAGGTGTAAGGTGCGCTCATCATGACATGCAGTAAAGACAGAAATAATGCTATGACTTAAAAGTGCAAAACAAACCATCTTTAAAGGCGAAGCTGTTCATGAGGGCCATCCCATCAAACCAGTGGTCGTAGCTGGTGTCACCCACGGAGAAGATGCCGGGGCCGTTGCGCAGGAGCGTGCCTTGCAGCCAGCCGGGAATATTCCCTGCAGGAGAGGACACAGACAAACACAAGCGGTGTAGTTGAAGTCAGTGCACGAGTTGGTTGTTAAATAGCGTAAAGGTAAAAAGCTTCACCCACCTTTTACATCTGCCTTGCATGGCTCCGGGCTCTCCACTGCGTTCTTGGAAAACTCTGGTGTCATGTTTGCCTGGAGCGGAGTGACCAACACGCGGAGGTGTCTGGAGAAACAGTGCAGCCAGCGCAAGGAGAGCCACTCCCTTTAAAGTTCTTCATGGGGGGGTTGGCAGAGGACGTGTTGACTCATCTGCGAGGATTTCATTGTAATGTTGCTGTAATCATTTATTTGAAGCTTAGTTCTGCGAAATGAGCTCCACAAGATAAAGCTCTTATTGTGTCATATTCTGAGTACTGATCGATAACTGCCTACCTTTTGATATGTCTTCTTCTGCTATTTACACTTCTTCCACCCTGATTTAACATGAGCCATTTTAATATAATAATAATAATAATAATANGAATATCACTATCTGAAGGCATTTGCTGACCTTGACGATGCATGAAGTGCAGCTTCTCTCGTCTCCTCCTCCGAGCGGGGAGAACAGAGCGGTGAGAACAAACACGTTGCCTAATCCATGCTGAAGTCAGCGCTCTCAAGAGATGAAATGCAAAAGCAAAGTTTCACCCCCACCACCCCCTCCACGTGCATTGTTATGCCTTTATTATACTTTGTTTCAGTTTCACCACTTTCTGGATCTGCCTGGTAATTCACATGTACAACAAATCACACTTATATTTTTTAATAGACCTTTGAAGAGTTAGTGTAACATTCCTGAGGGAGTCACAGTGTGGATTCAGTATGATCTCAGATCTTAAGTAATGCTTGTTATCTGCTCTGGTGGCTTAAGGTATAATATTACTTTATGGCCTTACTCTCACTGGAAATAGTGTTGAACTCTGGTTTATTTCATTCACTATCACATATTCTATGGTATTGTTTTCTTGGAAAGTTGTTTAGTGTCCCCCAGAGTTACAGACTAACTGTGGACTCCTATCAGCTGCAGGGCTGGTGCATCCTGTACCTGATAAAGCCTATAGTGGAGGAACAAATCCCCAAAAGGTGTAGGTTTTGAGTATCCCTATCTGAGGTGGAACAAAGCACAAACATTTTTCGGGACCCTTATATGTCTAGTTTTTGAAATGGATGGTTGTATGAAAATATTTTACTGCAAAATTAGTTTATTTGGTTGATATTTTGATCCTACCCAAACCCCAAATGTAGGCTTCTCTGAAAGGCACAGCATCTGCCTTATCACATGTATCTCTGGTAATAATTATTGTAATGTCACCAAATTTGAATGTTCACAATTATTACATACAACAAAGCAAAGGTTTCATCAGTGTAACAGGATCAACTATACCACAGTAATATGTGTAACAAAACATTTGTAATAAGCCAAGGCCTCCATAGTCAATATGCAGAACATTTTATACTCATTTTCTGTACCCCTACGTTCACCTTTAGGGGTACCCCACCTACAAAGGGGTGTATCCCACCTTATCTCTCCCCTTTTACTGTTGTACTCCGTGGGAGAGGGGCTCACGTTTATATAGTTGTAAGTGAGTCAGAGCTGTCAGGATTAAACAGAGATAACCTCCAAAGATATCCACGGTCTTGGCCTCTTCATATCAACTCAACGCAGACAACACTAGAGTCCACCAGTTGCATCAATACCTTTGTCTATCTTTGAGATATATACACTTTAACACCTTTGAATTATAGGCGAGGGTTGATTTGGAAATTAAAAATCCAACAGCTATGCATATACACACTCACAGGCCACTTTATTAGTTACACCTGTTCAACTGCTTGTTAAATAGCTAATCAGCCAATCACGTGGCAGCAACTCAATGCATTTAGGTATGTAGACATGGTCAAGACGACCTGCTGAAGTTCAAACTTAGCATCAAAATGAGGAAGAAATTTGATTTAAGTGACTTTGAACGTGGCATGGTTGTTGGTGCCAGACAGGCTGCTTTGAGTATTTCAGAAACTGCTGATCTACTGGGATTTTCACACACAGCCATCTCTAGGGTTTACAGAGGATGGTCCATGGATGCCAGAGGTCAGAGGAGAATGGCCAGACTGGTTCAAGATGATAGAAAGGCAACAGAAACTCAAATAACCACTGGTTACAACCAAGGTCTGCAGAAGACCATCTCTGAACCAACAACACGTCCAACTTTGAAGCAGATGGGCTACAGCAGTAGAAGACCACACCAGGTGCCACTCCTGTCAGCTAACAACAGGTAACTGAGGCTACAGTTCACACAGGCTCACCAAAACTGGACAATAGAAGATTGGAGAAACGTTGCCTGGTCTGATGAGTCTGGATTTCTGCTGCCACATTCAGATGGTAGGGTCAGAATTTGGTGTCATGGATCCATCCTGCCTTGTATCAACAGTTCAGGCTGGTGGTGGTGATGTAATGGTGTGGGGGATATTTTTTTGGCACACTTTGGGCCCCTTAGTACCAACTGAGCATGGTTTAAACACCACAGCCTACTTGAGTATTGTTGCTGACCGTGTCCATCTCTTTATGACCACAGTGTACCCATCTTCTGATGGCTACTTGCAGCAGGATAACGCACCATGTCACAAAGCTCAAATCATCTCAAACTGGTTTCTTCAACATGACAATGAGTTCACTGTACTCCAATGGCCTCCACAGTCACCAGATCTCAATCCAATAGAGCACCTTTGGGATGTGGTGGAACGGGAGATTCACATCATGGATGTGCAGGTGACAAATCTGCAGCAGCTGTGTGATGCTATCATGTCAATATGGACCAAAATCTCTGAGGAATGTTTCCAGCACCTTGTTGAATGTATACCATGAAGAATTAAGGCAGCTCTGAAGCCAAAAGGGGGTCCAACCTGGTACTAGCAAGGTGTACCTGATAAAGTGGCTGATGAGTGTAGGTCTACATACAAAAGATTGCTATCGTATCATAAAAGAAGGTTATCAGGATATTTGCTTGACCCTCTCATGTCACCAGCTCCTAACAGGCTACAAGAGCAGCCACATCAAACAGGCACATACTGTACATTGGGGTCCTGTTAGTGTAAATGTGTGAAGAGAAGGACACAAACCATAGATTAAGCCAACACTACATTTACCGCCCTGCGACTGTTTGTCCCCACCAACCATCTATGTCTGTCCAGACTCATATAAAACATTTTGCAAAGACTGAAAGCTGTTATATTCACTTAGGGGCTGACAGTAGCTCAGTCCACAGGAACTTGGCTTGAGAACCCAAGGGTCACCAGTTCAAGTCCAAATATGGAGTGTGGGCTGGTAGCTGGAGAGGTGCCAGTTCACCTCCTGGGCACTGCCGAGGTACCCTTGAGCAATTAACTGAACTGCTTGGGGTGCCTGTCCATGGACAGCCCCCTCGCTCTGACATCGCTCCACTTATTGCATGTATAGGTGCTGTATGTGCATGTGTGTGTTTCAGGCCTGTGTGTGTAACAACAGAGTTAAAAAGACTGAATTTCCCCTCGATACAGTTTTTCTTTTTATTATTCTTTATCCTCTTCTTCTTCTTCTTAGAGACCACAGAGGAGCACAGAGGACTGATACAGAGCCTCATCACATGTTGCAACAACAACCTCCTGAAGCAAAAGCAGTGAGCTTGTGGTGGACTACCGGAGGAAGAGGATAAAACACAACGTTGTAACCATGACAGTGGACAGTGCTTCAATATGAATGTCTCAAGAAGCTGCATATTCTAAAACATGGATGCTTCACACATGTCTTCAACCTGGCGGCACAGAGGATCTATACAATCACAGCAGTTTCAAGCACCCAAGATTAGTGTCACCAATTCAGTATCTCATTTTTATTTATTTGACTCATGACCATATCACATGGTATGGAGCACAAACTTTACGTACAGTAACAAAACAATGGCTTTCTGCAGGGATGCGGGAGCTGTGCTGGACCATCGTGGTGAAGACGGGGCTGAGCTGGAGGGCGGAGCTTTCTATTTACTGGTCCATATATGTCCTAACCCTCACCTATGGTCATGAGCTCTGGGAAGTGACCAAAAGAATGAGATCGCTGATACAAGCGGTCGAAATGAGTTTCCTTCGTGGGGTGGCTGGGCTCAGCCTTAGAGATAGAGTGAGGAGCTCGGAGTAGAGCCTCTGCTCCTTCATGTCGAAAGGAGTCAGTTGAGGTGGTTCAGGCATCTGATCAGGATGCCGCCTGTTAGAGGTGTCCAGGCACGTCCCACTGGTAGGAGGCCCCGGGGCAGACCCAAAACACTTTGGAGGGATTACATATCTCATCTGGCCTGGGAACACCTTGGGGTCCCCCAGGAGGAGCTGGAAAGCGTTGCTGGGAAGAGGGATGTCTAGGGTGCTTTGCTTGGCCTGCTGCCTCCGCGACCCGGCCCCAGATAAGCGGATGGAAATGTATGGATGGACAAAACAATGGCACACAGGGTGGCCAAAGTGCAACCAATGTAACTTAAACAAAGGAAGGACATTCTATAAAAAAGCACGTAGTCTGATCACAGTGACCTTTGACCTCTGACCACCACATTTTAATCAGGTCATCTTTGAGTTCAAGTGGACATTTGTGCCACTGAAATTCCCTTCAGACATTCCTGAAGAAATAATGATAAGTAAAACCAGTATACTGGAAAGATGTGAGCGGGTAACTCTGAAAGTAATAATAGATCATATCTGCATGTTAAAGTCCACATGCACATCACCAAGAGTTTAAATAAACTGTAATATGATCTCACCTGTGGGATTTCCACGAATAACCACGCGGTGACATAACTGCGCCTGTGATGACTAGAGGCAATCTGCAGGGTGACGAGGGCATGGGCTGCTTCTTATCTGTATCTATTATCTATATTATGATCACGTATCTGTATTTATATTCATATCCTTCTCTGTGCTGCGGTGATGATCCAGCTTTCTCAGTGGAGTCGTTCAAATTCCATCAAAACTATGCCCGTAGCTGTACCTGAGACGGGACCATGATGCAGCAGTGCTTTTGTTCAAGTCTGAGTGTATCTCAGATTGTTTGAAATCATTGTCAACAATATATGTTCAGTCCCTGTTTGACTTATCGAAAAGTTATTTGCTCTTGTTTTGCTCCACGAGCACTCCTCCAACAAAGTCATGTGCTATTTCAAAGCAGTGGGGTTTTCTTGCTGAAAACAAACACACGGAGGAGACTAACAAACCGTGAGAAGAACAGCAGCCTGTTGACAGAATCAAT